CTTAATCCTTAAACCTTAAACCCTAAACCCTAAAGCATAAACTCTAAACTATATAAACACTAAACCCTAAAGCCTAAACCTTAAACACTAAACCCTAAATCCCAAACTCCAAAGCTTAAACCATAAACACTAAACCACACACCACAAACCATAAACCCCAAACCCTAAATGCTAAACCCCAAATCCTAAACCTCAAACCCTAAACCCTAAAACCCAAACCCTAAACCCTAAAACCCAAACCCTAAACCCTAAACCCATACCCTAAACCCCATACCCTAAACCCTAAACCCTAACCCTAAACATTAAACCCCAAACCCTAAACCTCAAACCCTAAACCTTAAAACCCAAACCCTAAACCTTAAACCCATACCCTAAACCCCATAGCTTGAACCCTAAACCTTAACCCTGAACATTAAACCCTTAACCTTAAACCATAAAACCTAAACCCTAAATCCTATAACCTAAACTCTAAACCTAAACACAATACCTTTTACCCTAAACCCAAACCGTAAACCCTACACCCTAAACCCTTTACCCTTAACCCTAAACTTCAATTAGAGGAACATGTTGCAAACAAGGTCAAGAAGGGCAGGCCAATACAAGATGATTATGGGGCTTTGAAATCAGAGGATGAGCTAGATCCTGACAACCAATCCATTTATGAATATGATGAAGATGAAAAAGAAACTAGTAATCATCTAATTCAAGCTTTTGGCTCCACCTTTCATAATGAATGGCCAGAAGAGGTTCAGGAACTCACAGAACAGCAAGTTCTATCCCCAAGAGGTAGGAAACAAAAAAGACAAACCAAACAGTATACTAATACCAGTACTTTTGCTACTTCTAGCAGGTCCATCACAAGGTCTAAATCCAAAGGTTTTTAATGATTAAGACCATCTGTTGGAATTCTAGGAGTATGAATACCCAAAGTTTTTTGGAAAGACTTCAAACACTCAAGAAGATGCATGAGTTATCTATGATTGCCATCCTTGAACCCTTTGCAGACAACTCTCAAATCAAGATTGTGAGAATTCAACTTCAAATGGACCATGCAGTTAGCAATGCTAATGGGAAAATCTGGCTTTTTTTCTCTAATGAAATTCAAGCATTCTGAGCTTACTGAGAGGTTCATGGTGTCCTTTATTTATGCTAAATGTAAGGAACATATGAGGAGGCCTTGGTGTACCATTAGATACTTCAATGTTATTACAAATATAGAGGAGAAGCTTGGGGGAATGCCTTACAACATGAACAAAAGCTTTGAATTTATCAGTGTGATAGAAGCTTGTGGACTGATTGATCTTGGATATACATGGCTTCCTTTCACATGGTGTAATTAAAGGGTTGGACAGGGTAGACTATGGAAGAGGTTGGATAGATCCATGGTTAATGATAAATGGCTAGACGTTATGCCTCAAACTACTATTGAACAACTATCCTCTGTTGGCTCTGATCACAGTCCCTTGTTGATGGAAATGGTTAGGAAAAATGAAATTCATACCAAGTATTTCAAGTTCTTACATTGTTGGGTTGACAATGATAACTTTATGGAGACTGTTCAAAAGTGCTGGGAGAGGTAGGTCAAACGTAACCCAATGTGGAAATTGCATCAGAAAATGAAGAGGTTAACTTCCACCCTTAGCAAGTGGTCAAAGAAAGAGTATGGAGATATCTATGCTAAAGTGAAGGAGTTTGAAGAGACTATCAGGAAAGCTGAGGAGGAACTTCTTACAAATAACACAGAAGCTCTTTGACAATAGTTACATTTCATGAATGCCAACTATATTAGATATTTGAAGTTAGAGGAATCTATTCTTAAACAAAAGACTCAACTTCAATGGTTTAAGGAAGGGGATGCCAACACCAAATATTTGCATGATTTAATGAGGGGAGGGGAAGAAGAAGAAGATTATTTCTGCATAAAATATGTACTGGCGATGATGTGTGGATACAAGGGGATGATCAGATTGCACAAGCTGCTTGTGAATATTTTTTGGGTAATGTTTACTAGTTAGAATTGCAGAATAGATGAAAGATTCCTTCAACAGTTACCTACATTAGTTACTCCTGAACAGAACCAGAAGCTGCAGGAAATGCCTACATTGGAGGAACTAAGACATATGGTGTTTTCCATGAACCCAAATTCAACACCAGGTCCGAATGTTATAGGGGGCAAGTTCTACCAAGCATGCTGGAACATCATTAAAGAAGATCTGTTGGCAGCTGTGCAGTCCTTCTTTTGTGGTCACATTATGCCTAAGTTTATGTCACATGCATTCTTAGTTTTGCTTCCCAAAACTGAACAGCCTAACAAATTCACTGACCTCAGGCCTATCAGTCTCAGCAACTTCTCAAATAAGTTCACCTCCAAACTCTCAAATTTGTCAAGCATGCTTTGCAGTCCATACCTATCCACACAATGGTTGTAGTATCACCTCCCAGTACTACTACCAAATACATAGAGTCTATTATTGCAATTTTTTTCTGGGGAAGAACTCAGGACAAAAGGATGTATCATTGGGCATCACTTGAAACCATGAGCTTGCCTTGTACAGAAGGTGATGTGGGGATCAGAAGACTCACAGATATAAGCACTTCTCTACAGTATAAGCAGTGCTAGAATTTCATGGCTAAAACTTCTCTATGGGGCCAGTTTCTTAAATCAAAATATTTCCAGAGAGCCAACCCAGTTGCAAAGAAGGTGGATATTGGGCAATCTCTAATGTAGAGGTATATGATGAAGAATAAGAACAAAGTGGAGGATCATATCACCTGGAAAATTAACTATGGAAGTTGCTTCTTTTGGTCGGATGATTGGCTAGGGGGGGGGGGCTCTAGCTAATTATACCACTAATATTTCCAGCCTTAATAATGCCACTATTGCTCACTTTCTTGTCAATGGAAAATGGAATGAAAGAAAGTTGAGACAACAGGTTCCACCACTGCTCATTCCTCATATTTTGAGCACTAATTTTCAATACCAACAAGGAGTGAAAGACACAACAATCTGGAAGTCTAATGATTCTGGAATTTTCTCATGTGCTTCAGCCTGGGAAATTTGCAGACATAGGAAGAATAATGCAGTGATCAACTCCCAGATTTGGCATAAAAATATCCCCTTCAAGATGTCCTTTCTCGTATGGAGAGTAGTAAGAAAAAAACTGCCAACCAATGATAAATTGGCAACCTTTGGGGTAGAGCCTGTGCAGTTTTTATGTTGTATTCAAGAAGGGTGGGATGATATGGATCACATCTTCAATCAAGGACATTTTGCAGTTCATAGCTGGAAATTATTTTCAAGTACGATGGGTGTTACTTTTCAACAGTCCCCATTGAGCAACTGCTTATTGAGTTGGTGTGATATTCAAGGGAAAAATGAAGCTCACGAGACCCTTATTCAAACATTTCCCATAGTGGTTTGCTGGAACCTGTGGAAGAATAGATGCTCAGCAAAGTATGGGGATAAGAAATCCAGCATCAGCAGAGTCAAGTTCATGGTCCTCAAAGACACTCTCCATCTGCTCAACATTGCTTTTTCATACATCCAGTGGCCTCTAAAGTGGCCATAAGTGGTGGACTTGATTGAAAGCTGCAAGCATGATGTTAAAGTAACTTCAGTATTATGGAAAACACCCCTCTTAATAGGTATAAACTTAATGCTGATGGTAGTGCCTTGCACAATCCTAGGAAGATTGGAGGGTGGGGGGGGCATTCTGCGAGATGAACATGGAGGTATCATTTATGCATTCGCTATACCTCTTGGTGGGGGGACCAATAATCAGGCAGAAGTTCAAGCTGCCAGTTATGGTCTAATTTGGTGCATTCAACATAGGTACAACAACATTATTCTAGAAGTGGATGTTGTTGTAGAGTTCTATTCCTTCTTAGAGGATTCAAAGGTTTGTACAAGAACTCCAACTCCTTTTCAACCAATGTGAATTCTTCCAATGTATGCATACATATAGAGAGGCCAACAGTACTGTAGATTTCCTATCCAAACAAAGTCACATACAAGATATTATTCAACATTATTACACTCATAACCAATTTTCGAATGCAGCAAGAGGTAGCTATATTCTCGAGAAAATGGGAGTTCAAAGTTTCAAAAGAAAGAAGTTGAAAAGGATTAAAAACCTCCTTGACTTGTTCCCTTTCTATTTTTTGTCAATATACTTTTCAACTGGACTATGTCTTAGCTAGCTATAGTTGTTTTGAATAGGTTCTTGTTTCCTTTAATCTTTTCTTTGTAAGGTGAGAGTCTCCCTTATTTATGTTTTCCTAGTATCTTTGTATTGAGAGAAGTCCTTTCCTTAGGTGCCTAGCTCTAGGTTTATCTTGTCTAGTATAGGGATGAGTTGACTGACCTTAGTAGGTAGGTCGATGCCCGAACCGCTATAGGATCGGAGGTTGGACTTATGTCCCCCTCCTTGTATGTTTTTGAATTTTATTTATGTTAAGGCATGGGGTGTTGCTAAGTCCCTCACCCCTCCAAGGGTTGTTCAAAAAAAAAAACCTAAACCCTAAACCCTAAACCCTATACCCTAAACCTTAAACCCTAAACCCTAAACCCCAAACCACAAAACTCTAAACCCCAAACCCTAAACCCCAAACCCCAAACCCCAAACCCCAAACCTCAAACCGTAAACCATAAACCCTAATCCCTAAACCCTAAACATAGAACCCTAAACCCAAAACCCAATACCCTAAACTCTAAATCATAAACCCTAAACCATAAACACTAAACATAGAACCCTAAACCCAAAACCCTATACCCTAAACTCTAAACCCTAATCCCTAATCCCTAAACCATAAACACTAAACCATAAACCCTAAATCCCAAACCCTAAATCCTAAACCCTTAATCATAAACCCTAATTCAATCCACTAGAGGCCTAAAACAAGGTGATCCTCTATCACCTGCCCTATTTATTTTAGGGGCTGAGGTCCTTTCTAGATCATTGAATAGAATTCACAGCAATCCTAACTATCATGGTTTCTTTATGGAGACGAGAGGTCCTCAAGTTAATCACCTTAGCTTTGCGGATGACATTATCATATTTACTTCAGGAAGGAAAAAGTCTCTTGAACTGATTATGCATACTCTGAATATATATGAAGAGACTTCTGGACAGCTAGTGAACAAAGACAAAAGCCACTTTATGGTCCATTCTAATGCTTTCAACAGCACTAAGGACAGGATTAAGCGAGTTACTGGCTTTAAGCAAAAGGAAGGTCATATTACTTATCTTGGATGCCCCCTGTACATTGGCAGGCCAAGAATTATTTACTTTTCCGATCTTATCAACAAAGTGGTTAATAGGATCACAGGATGGAAGGCAAAAATCTTGAGCTATGGAGGCAGAAAAACCTTAGTCAAGCATGTGTTACAATCTCTCCCCATTCACCTTATTTCTGCTATATATCCTCCCTCTACAATTATCAAGCAAATTCAGAACCTTATGGCAGACTTCTTTTGGGGATGGAAAAATGACAGGAAAAAATATCATTGGTCCTCGTGGAAGAATTTGAGTTTTCCATATGAGGAAGGAGGCATTGGTATGAGAAATTGAAAGGATGTGTGCATGGCTTTTAAATACAAGCAATGGTGGATCTTTAGATCAAAACACACTCTTTAGGGAGACTTCTTGAGAGCTAAATATTGCTAGAGATGCAATCCTATCAGCAAGAAGTGGGACACTGGTGACTCCCCTACCTGGAAAATTTTAATGCATAACAAAGTAAAGATTGAGGAGCACATACATTGGACAATCAACTCTGGAACTTGCTCTTTCTGGTGGGATAATTGGTTAGGAGTTGGACCTCTAGCACACTTCTCTAATGAAAGCAACAGGTTCAACAACAACACAGTGGCTGATTTCCTGATTGAGGGCCAATGGAATCTGGAGATGGTGATACAGCAGGCCCCTCATAGCATGGTAGCAAGCATCTTAGATACTCACATTCAGTACCAGCAAGGCATCCCAGACCAGGTAGTATGGAAACTTAATTCTGATGGAAATTTCAGTTGTTCTTCTGCTTGGAATGAACTCAGGGAAAAAAGGAACAGGTCTCAGTTTTATGCCTTTATTTGGCATAAAAACATCCCTTTTAAATGTTCTTTTTTGCTATGGAGGGCATTAAAAGGGAAGCTACCTACTAATGAAAAAATTTCCAGCTTTGGCAATGAACCAGTAACATGTTATTGCTGCGACAGACCTGGGTGGGATACTATAGATCATATCTTCAACATTGGTCATTTTGCAACATATGTATGGAGGTATTTCGCTAGACTTGCTGGAATCCAAACAGACCACACCCCTCTTATTCATCTAATCATGAGATGGTGGTCGACCAAGTCCAACAATGAAGCTCACAAGTTAATCCTCCAAGCTACTCCAATATTCATCTGCTGGAGTGTATGGAAGAACAGGTGCGCGAGGAAATATGGAGGGAAGTAGTCTAACGTCTCTAGAGTTAAGTATGCAGTTTACAAGGACAACTACAAGCTTATGACTACCACTTTCCCCTACATCAGATGTCCCTCGAACTAGACAGACTTGATCAAACAGGCAGGGAAATGTTTTCATGATACCAAGGTATTTATGGTGTATTGGCAAAGACCCCCTAAACAATGGGTGAAACTAAATACAGATGATAGTGCTTTAAGTAACCCCGGGAAAACAGGTGCAGGAGGTATAATCAGAGAACACAATGGTGAAATGATCTTAGCATTTGCGACCCCGCTAGGAAATGGAACCAACAACCAGGCCGAAATAGGAGCAGCCATATTTGGCATGACATGGGTACTTCAACTGGGTTACAGGAGTGTAGTGTTGGAAGTGGATTCGCAGCTGCTCGTGGACTGGATCATGCAGAAAGCCAAACCTCCATGGAGTATCAACACACAGCTACAGCAGCTCCAGCAGCTGATCAGACAAACACATTTTTTTAAATGCAAACACACCTTTAGGGAAGCCAACTTTGTGTCCCATTCCCTAGCAAAACAAAGTCACAAATTTACATGCCCCCAAATATATTCCAATAGCCAACAATTACCAAAAGAAGCAAGAGCCTACTATCAATTAGACAAGATCGAGATGGCAAGTTTCAGAAGAAGGAAAATCAAGAGGATCAAAGAACCTCCCTGAACATGATCACAGCCTATTCAATTTAGCTATGGTTTAAAATTATAGTGTCTTTGATTAGGTATAGGTTTATTTGTTTTGTTTATTTTGATATTGTAAGGGGAGAGTCTCCCTTATTTATGTTTTCCTAGAATCCTTGTATTGAGAGGAGTCCTCTCCTTAGGTGCATAGTTCTAGGTTTTTCCTTTATAGTATGGGAATTAGTCGACTAACCTTAGTAGGTAGGTCGACTTATGACCCACCATAGGATCGGAGGTTAGGTTTATGTCCCCCTCCTTGTACATTTTTTTGAGCTCTTTTGAGCTTTTATTTATGCTAAGGCCTGGGGTGTTGCTAAGCCCCTGACCCCCCCAAGGGTCAATCAAATAAAAAAAAAAAAAAAAAAACCTAATCCCTTAACCTTAAAATCAAAACTCTAACCCCTAATCCCTTAACCATAAACCATAAACCCTAAATCATAAACCCTAAACCCTAAAGCCAAAACCCTAAACCTAAACCCTAAGCCCTAAACCTTAACCCTAAACCCTAAACCCTAAACACTAAGCCATAAACCATAACCCTAAATCCTAAACCAGAAACGCTAAAATTGTAACCCTAAATTCTAAACATAGAACCCTAAACCCTTAACTAAGACCCTAATCTCTAAAACATAAACTATACCCTAAACCCTAAACCATCAACCCTAAACCCTACACTATAAATGCTAATCCCTTAACTCTAATCCCTTAACCCTAAACTCTGAACCTGAAACCCTAAACCCTAAACTCTAAACCTAAAACCCAAAACCTGAAACTTGGAACCCCAAACCCTAAACCCTTAAATCTAAACCCTAAACCCTATACACTATATCCTAAACCTTAAACCATAAACCCCAAACTTTAAACCCTAAACCCCAAACTCTAAACCCTAAACCCCAAACCCTAAATCACTAAACCCTAAACCCTAAACCCTAATCACCAAACCCTAGACCCGATACTTTCCAGCTTCTCATGGTCACTTACCCCTATTGCTCTTAGCCTAATAATTGGGAGGATATGATCAATGAAGTTGAGAAATGCTCCAAGGATATCAGGATCATCACGGTCAGCTAGCAAAGCCCCCATCGCCCCCTCTTGAAGCTTAATACAGATGGTAGTGCATTGCATAACCGCGGGAAGATAGGAGGAGGGGGTATATTGAGGGGCTTCAATGGAAACATGATATATGCATTCACAATTTCCCTTGGTATTGGTACCAAAAACCAACCTGAAACACAAGCAGCAACCCATGGATTGGACTGGTGTGTTCAACATGGTTACAGAAAGGTTATCTTGGAAGTGGACTCAGAACTACTTACCAAATGGCTTAACCACAAAAGCAAGCCTCCCTGGAAATTGCAGCAGTACATCACTAAACTTCACCAGATTACTACTCAGTTGGAGTTCTTCAAATGCCAGCATACTTATAGAGAAGCCAATACAACAACAGATTTTCTGTCCAAGGAGAGTCACAGATCAGACATCACTCAGCACTTCTACACCTAGAACCGGCTACCTGCAGCAGCTAAAGGAAGTTTCCTCCTGGAAAAGATGGGAATGACCAACTTCAGGAGGAAAAAGCTAAAAAGGATAAAAAAACCACCTTGAAGTTCTCACTTCAGTTCTTTTAGGCTTCTTTTCTAGTTTTTTGGCTAGTTCTAGGTCTAATTGTAAGGGGAGAGTCTCCCTCATTTATGTTTCTTAGAATTTTGTACAGAGAGGAGTCCTTTCTATAGGTGCTTAGTTCTAGGTTTTGTCTTAGAATCATGGGGATGAGTACACTCTCCTTAGTAGGAAAGTATACTCATGAACCACCATAGGATCGGAGGTAAGATTTTATGTCCCCCTCCTTGTATTACTTTTGCTTTTTATCTATGATAAGGCCTGGGAGTGTTGCTAAGCCCCTGACCCCCCCAAGGGTCGTTCAAATAAAAAAAAACCCTAGACACCCAAATCCTAAACTCGAAACCCTAATGATGTAATACAAATAACATCAAGGACATTTACTAGGAGCCAATCTCAGGACCTTCAAAGGATGCAAGGCTTATTCTTGAAGATGGAGGTCCTCGAGATGGTATTGATGGCAAACAAGGGATTTCAGATCTTGAAGATTGCAAGGGATCTTTTATGATGCAATCCAGATTGCCTCAAGGCTATCCATTCACGAACATCAATGCTTTGATGGAGTGTTCACAATGCTGGAGGCAGTTTGGCATATATGGATAATAAGAAGGGGTTTTCATGCCTTGCATGGGAACACATGCACCTTGAAGGAGCTCTTAGTTGGGCAACACCATGATTAGATGATAGCTTGGAGCATGGGAAGCCTAACGAAGAAAGGAGGAGCAAATGAATATGTTGCTCTATTCGTTGAGCTGACCTCCGCTTTGATGACTCGCCAATCTACATTAGCGAGGGTTCTAACATCACCTAAGGTCCCAAGGAGCTACAACTGGAAGTTGCTTACTCGACGAGCTGAAGAGCAATCGGCGCATCACCCAATGACTTGGGCGATGACTACCAGATCGCATAATGTCCAAACAGGCATCAAGAGCAAGGTCCATCTCCAAGTAGACATGAGTGCCATTGGTGCATCGCCCAATAGACCCCAAGATCGTCAAAAGTTACAGCATGCCTTCAAGAGAGAATCCAAGAAGAAGGGTTCTCACCGAACCCATTGGGCGTATCCCCAAGCCATTTGGCGATCCCCACTTGCCTCGCCCATTGGCCCATTTTGGGTCTCTTTTGGGCCCATCTATTTAATAATGCATAAAACTATAAATAGGTCTTTAGGGGTTAATTTTAGAGTAAGATTGATTTTGAATATTGTGGTTGTAAACCTAAAATTCCTTGTGAATGATTGAAACCTTGGTAAGATTTTTTTGAACCTTGTTTAGAAACGGGGTTGCTTGGGATATCGATTCCCTTGACTTCGTAAGAGTTAGGCGTTTCTTGTTGGATTAACGAAGTGAGGTCTTTGGGCTTAACATACCCAGAGGTTGCTCTTTGTTTCCTCTTGTTGTGTCTATCTATTTATCCGAATTAGATGCTTGTTAGGATCTAGATTGGAGGTTATTGGATTTGATACATCCTTTTGTTACCAATTGTTTCTTATCTTGTGTCTTTTCTTCTATCTTTCTTGTTTTCTGCTATTTATTATGATTCTTCTTGTGAGAATTGTATCATTTGGTATCATAGCAAGGCTTAGAATTGTTCCTACGAATTCTAGTCTTGGGTTGTTACAAAAAAAAGGTCAAATATATTTTTTCTAGAAAACCCCAAAAAATGGGTTTGTTGATTTGTGTCTTGTTTGAAGTTCCCAAGGTTGGATTAGTGTTCCCTAACCTTATTTGAGTCTAGGGATGAGATATGAAAGGGTTTGGATCACTATTGAAGAATCCATCATTGTTGGTTGAAGAAGCTTTAAAGAAGACAAAGTGGGTTTTGAAAACTGGAAGATTTGGCAGGGAATTGAGTGCTAAAAAGTATTGGGGTTTGTTTCCTATATCTAGGAGAGCTTGTAACTTGAATTTTGTGAAATTTCGAGCTGAAAATCTAAAGGGTTTTATTTTGGGTCTTCATAGTTGTTCTTGAAGTTCTTGAAGAACATTCAAATCTTCAAGGAAGGAGTCTTCAAATGAGAAAGAGTTTGATCCAAAAAGGAAGAAATAGAAAGTGTAAAGGTGTTTGTAAAAGGGGAATTCACCTAAAGGGGTAACTACTAAAGGACAAAGGAAGTGGGCGACCACAGTAGGTCAAATTTTGGAAATGTGCATGTGCAGCTAGAGGAATTTGTGTGAATCCCAACTTGGATCGCCCATTCCACTTGGCGCCTCCCCCTTTAGGCGGTTAGGTCGCCGAGTTGGACCTCATTTTGATGGAGACACTGGAAATTTTGACGAGCTAAGCCCTGGCCGTCGAATTTATTCGACGCATTGCCGAACTTCCATCCAGATCGCTGAGTTACCTTGTCCATTTGTAGAGTTTGCGAGTCAATCTTCAAGTTGGCGAGCTGAACTTCACGTTAGGCGAAGAAAAGAGTGCATTTGGCGAACAGAAGCTCATGTTATGACCCTTTCTTCTCAGGTTCTAATTCTAGATTCTTTTCTTTGTTTCAAGTTCTTTGTCAAAAATCCTAAACTGATTTTCAACTCGTAACTACTCTACTTGTTGACTATTGGTTAATGAATTCACTTCTTTGTTAGTGACTTTTCTTTGTGTGCTTTTATTCATTTTTACTTCGTAGTTAACTACTTGATTCAAGTCCGTTTGCTTTAATCGAGTCTTCCATTTTTCTTTAAACAAAAATCCACTCCGGCCAAGAGTTGAAATTGAGACCTTGTGATCAACCAAGTATAAGCAATCTTCAACATTAGCCGAGCCAATTTGAGAGGCAATCAAAGGTGTGCAAACACGAGTGGTTGCGAGTTCATTTAACCGACGTTAACGTTGTGTACTATTTTGTTGATTTGTCCTCATTGTTCGGTACCATGGCCACAAGAAGTGAGGCCCTCCCACTTAAGGGGAAGGTTACTTGGGAATCCATAATAGAGGCAATTGTTGATGTGAGTTGGAGAATGGTGAACGTAAAAGACCGAATGGCATCCGTGGAGGGTAGGCTGTCAGGAACAGAGGAGAGGTTGAACATCCCTTCGAATAGGGTGCCACAATCTTAATCTAACCCTGTTATTTATCCTTCATTTTGTAAGAATTCTTATGTAGGTACAATCATGATGAATGGAGGAACATAAGTTCCAGACAAAGAGCCTACAGTCGAACGTGTGATGGAT